AATCTGACGCTGACGGCAAGCGCATCGTCAGCGCTGATGGCCAGGATATATATGAACTCCGAGGAAGTATATTTGAATGACGTACAGCTTTCTGCACGCGCGGTACATAGAAGTTCATACATTTTTGGCTATCAGCGCCGACAGTCAGCGTGCGGTCAGCACGACTCTAAAACCAAGCTTATAAGTATAATTATAACTATCCATATGATATAGTAAACTTCCGCCACTTACCTCTTGCAATATCCTCCTGATAGCTTCTCTGGGTGCATCATCATAATTCTGAGGGTCCACTGAGAGCAGTTTCATGACCCGCACCTTTCCACTCGGACAGCGAGCGTACACATCTGTGAAGGTACCGCCACGGTCTATGGCGAACTGGAATCCGTTTTGTGGTGCCATTGCAACGTGGAACTGGAAAGATGAGATTAATAAACCGTTTACTGTGTATTATTTTAAAGTTGCAGTCATAAAAACATTCTAGCATTTGTTGTATAATGGATCAGTCTTGTAGTAGTCCATGGATGGATTATTTAATGCCATAATGGCACATGCGGAAACATACATGGTTACTTTATCAATATAGTTAGGCAGGTGATTACCATCCGGGCCCCAGCTTAAAAGGGGCCAATTGATCCCAAATCCCACCCTGTGTACATTTTTCAAGGAAAGTTTGATTTTAGCCACTGATGTACTTAAAAATAAAGAAATCTTAATATTATTATATCATCACTACTAGACATTATAATTATTCAAACGAAACATTCATTTTTGGATATGTTACCTTAAAAAAAGACATTAAGTTTACAAAATAAATTGAATTATAAACCAATTTAAGATCCAAACACTGACTGCGAAATAGCTTTATCTATTTACATATTTACAAACCGCGTCACCTTAAGACGGCCTCTTTCAATTGCCTACTAGGTCAATGGACTATGCCTAAACATATTTCCTGTTCAAATTCATTGTGCCTATAAAGTCAATGAAGAATGGTTATAGGTAATAAATACAGATAAATAAAATTGTAGTGTCTGTTTTTTATATTGAAATAATAGCTTTTAACTATATGCATATGAATATATATGCGCATAAATACGATACCTATACCAAAATAACATTTTTTTTAATTGTTGTCTGTCTGTTTGTATTGGCTGATCTGTGAAATGGCGGGACCGATTTTGACGGGACTTTTATTGGCAGGTAGTTGATGTACCAAGGAGTAATATAGGCTATTTTTATTTTGGATAATTTAAACAAAAAAAAGTTATAACCTAAAACTCATATTCTACGCGTATTAAGTCGCGGGCAACAGCTAGCTAGTCTATCTATACTAATATTATAAAGAGGAAAGCTTTCTACCTATTTTTGTATGTTTGTAATGAATAGGCTCAAAAAGTACTGGGCCGATTTAAAAAATTCTTTCACCAATAGAATGATACATTTTTCCAATTCGACATAGGCTACATTTCATTATGAAGAAAAAAAATTGTCTAACCCGTGCGAAGCCGGGACGGGCTGCTAGTATTCAATAAAAATAATTCGCTGAATGGGTTGCTAAGCGCAAATAAGGAGAGCAGCTGAACCGATTTCACTCATTCTTTTATTGTTGGTTTTGGTATTGGTAGGAGAAAGTTGGTACATATGAACAAAAATTAAAATGATGCGCATAAACATTTCTGAGGCGAAATAAAGTTCGCGGGAAACGCTAGTATCGGGAAGATAGGAATGTACCCCGAAATACGTCTTGTAAAAATCCCAATGCATAAATACAGGGTCGGACTCGGTTGGAGGTTGGCCGTAGGGGGCCCCACTAACCTCTGTTGGCATTAGTAGTAGCTATGAGGGTGCATAGATGTAATACCTAACAGTAGGTTATTAAGTAGGTATTTCCTACACCATGTCATTTTCCTCAACTAGGGAAAATCACAAAGGAAAACTTGGACAGATGAATAGCACCTAATCAATAAGACAGTAACTATGTGACTATATAGTCATTGGTCAGACAACGAATGAATCACTTTTTTAATGTCCTAGCTAAGTACAAGTACTAGGTAAATATGTTATTTTCTATTATAATAATTAGGTAATAGTTAATACTATAATAATGAGGAAAAATATTGCTTGTTTGTTTGCATCGAATAGGCTCTGAAACTTTTAGAGTGATGCGAAAATATTGTCTTTCCTCATTAGAATCTTTATTAGGAAATAATATAGGATACTTTTTACCTATTCAAAAAAAGGAGGAGGTACTATGTTTGGCTGATTGTTTTTTTTTATATACCAATATTTCTATAGACTGCCGAATGGTCGCAAGTGCGACTGCCGAGCAAGGGATCTCGGGTTCAATTCCCGGGTCAGGCAAAGTATTACGAGGGTTTTAAAAAAATCTCAGTAGTAGCACGGAGTCTGGAAATCTCATCCCTTATTACATGGAACTCATAACATAAATAGTGAAAAGTGGGTGTTACATTGTACAGTGGCATTAAGTTCCGTAGTGTGCACCTCTGCCTACCCCTTCAGGGATAAAAGGCGTGATGTTATGTTATGTGTATTTCTATAGAATCTGGACCTACTTATGATAAGAGATAGCTTCTTAATTGTATACAGGCAAAATTACATACACTATGTTAACTTAAAAATCGATTTATTTTTACCTTTATTGCAGAGCCATAGCATTTAGAATCTATTAACAACAATATGTGTTATATTTATTAATATTTGATTTTTAATATTTTTTGTCCGTTTTTCTAGTTTTAGTTGTAAATATTACTTTGTAAATAAAATGTTTTATATTATGCTGTGGTATTAAAGAAAAAAATAGAAAATGCAAAATAATATGCCGCAATCTACAATGGACATGTAGTTACATCAATTCTTGGTCACTCATTTCTAACTTGATTAGTTTGTTCAATTAATGTAGTGAGTATCATTTGACCTTTGCCTCTAAACATGACGGACCTAATATTAGCAACATACCTATTTAATTATTCTTCCAGTTAAAAATCGAATACAAGAATTTAAAACAATCAAAATTTAAACCTCATTTCTGAATTTTCTCTTTGTTCTTCTTAGGTAACAAACTAACGGCCAGTAGCTCACAATAAATATAATTAAAAAATATTAAAGTACTTATTTATCATTGGCTTAGCTGCAGCTTTTAAAAGAATGTGTATCAGGAGTTCTATAATTTTAGTAAAGATATAACTACATATGTCTTAGTCAATCAATCATCATTTGCAAACTTCGGATCATTGCTAAGTAATTAACTATGAAGTAAAAAAAATAAGACTGCCTCATTGGCCGAGTGGTCGCAAGCGCGACTGTCGGGCAAGGGGTCTCGGGTTCGATTCCCGGGTCGGGCAAAGTATTACTGGGTTTTAAAAAAACCTCAGTAGTAGCACGGAGTCTGGAATTGTGCCCGGTATATGGCAATAGGCTCACCCCCTATTACATGGGACTCATAACATAAATAGTGAAAAGTGGGTGTTGCATTGTACAGTGGCATAATGTGCACCTCTGCCTACCCCTTCGGGGATAAAGGCGTGATGTTATGTTAAAAAAAAATACCAACAAAAGTGACATACATAAAGTGGGCAGCAAGTCAAGCTATTCTTTTTTGTCAAATATCTTTAATGAATTTTCAACTCTATTTACTAAGTATGACATAAAGTCGAAAATTTATTGACAAAAATTGACACATAGAAGTAGGTTGACATGCTGGCCACTGTACTACAGAATACTTCTGTACTAAATAAAAGACTCAGCTATACAGCCTCGTTTACACCTATTTTACTAATTTCATCAAAAAATATTACATAATCTTCAAGAAATATTTGTACATAAATATACACCAGTAGAACACAGTAACTACATTATTAACTTGTCAGATAACAGATGAAATAGATATCATTGTTCTGAAAATATTTATAAGCATTGTCTCTTCATCGTAAACTAGATCTTAAAATCTGAAAAATATGGTTGTCATTTGTTTGGGATGCAATGACAAACCACTATTTCATTTGTTTTATGAGAATTTGTTTAAATAAATAATTATGGCAGACTTGTGTATTTAGAATTGCAGTATTTTTCAGTGAATTGATACTTAACTTTTAGTTTTATGTTCATGATTGTGATTCATTGAATAGGTAAGTATAAATTATTAGGCATATAGAAATGAAGTTCATAGCCTAACATAAAGTTATAGTGAAATAAAAAAGTTATGCAGATGCACTATATAGTCTAAAGTTACTACACTTATTAAAAAAAATTGCGGAAGACAATAAACTTTTTTTTACTCAAGGACGTATAAAAATATTATTGTTAGGTACAAAAAACATACGTTCTAATTAGATTCTAATTACCATTATCTAAAAGAAATTGAAAAGATACAGGAATCTCGCGTAGTAACAGACCAAAAACTATAAAAAGTTAATAAAGATTTTTTAAACTATGAAAAATTATTTTTATAACCATAGGTGCATTGTGAAGAAAAGAGTTACTAAAATTCAAGATACAACACCAGAATTTTGCAACTCACCGTTTATCATAAACTCGAATAACGTAAATATTTATTCCGGTACGTCTTCACTTCACCACACGTTGCAATAAACTTATCAAAAACAAAAGTCAACCTCAAATAACAATTAATAGTACGCAAACCTAATCACAAATCTATTTATTTCTTTCGCACTTTGAGAATTATGGCATTTTTGTCCTTCTCTAGAATTGTCAATTTCATTGATAAGCCCTTGAACGCAACTCTTTCTAGCTGAGTGTAGTTGAGCTATTGTAATCTTTATCTTTAGTAGTTATAAGGGTTCAAATTTAACTGAATGACATTTTCCTCCTAGGAATGAATTTTATTAATGAAATAAATATTTAACGTGAATTTTTCAATTTTAATAAGAACAGTTTTGATAACATCTTTTTTAATAATTCTAATTTAGTAAAATTTGGTCTGTATTATTGAACGCATCCATCAACATAACCTAACTTTCTGTCAACGACAACGTCACGTCAAGCAACATAATATCGCGCGATTATTGAATGATTTTATTGAATTTCACACAAATAAGGCTACTAACACTTGGGAATTATCTTAAAAGGATGGGCCGAAAAAATCGCCAATTCAATAAGTTCGCCCAGCGAAAGCGGGAACGCAAAGAACAGGTATTTTTTCAATTAAATGTAGCTATAACCTTTTTGTTAAACTTAACAGGTGTTTACAATATTAATCTTGTGTTTTTAGGAGAAGAATCCTCAGGAAAAGCCAGCGGCTGATACCAGAAAGCATTATGAAGATATTGTGAGAGAAAATGCTGCTTTTGAAGAGTATTATAAGGTACTTTCAAAATGTTATGAGTCAATCGTATTCACTTTTACACAGATTTTGATCTCATTAAGCAACAAAATAACAGCCGATTCTTACATCTAAATTATTCTCAAATCACTATTGTGTTTTGTAAAATAAAACAGCAAAATGAAAATGAAGGATTTTTTCGCTTTCAGAATCAAAAAGTGTGCCCAGAAGAAGAATGGGATACGTTCATGAAGACCCTAAAAGAGAACTTGCCCACAGCATTCCGTATCACAGGTTCTAAATGTGAAGCAGCTGCTCTGATGAAGATAGTACAGAGTCAGTACTTCTCCGAGATCCTGAATATGAAGCTGCAAGTAGAAGGGGAAGGTGAACAGGGAGAGGAGATTAAACCTATTAATTTACCATGGTATGAAGCCGTTTTATTTATTGAAACAATTATTATTGGCTAGTATTTGGCGAAATTACTGTGTAGAGTGTGTTTTGAGATAAGGTCATTAAATTACACTAATGAAACAAGTATTATACTTTCCTTCCCATGTATCTTGTGTGTATTTGTCACAAGGTTTCAAGTTGAGAATTAAATTAAAACCTTCATGAGACATATGAAATTACTTAACAAGGAACTTGTTTCAAGCCATGTTAGAGGCTCATTTTTGACCGAGTTACGTAAGTAAGCTGGAAAGATAATAATTAATAGAGAATTTGATTCTTACATACCTATTTACAAAGTTATGATGCTCCTACAGGTACCCAGGTGGCTATGCATGGCAACTCCGTCTCTCTCGAACAGACATCAGACGTAATGAAGCTCTCTACAAACTTCATAACTTCTTAGTTGCTGAGACTGCAGCCGGCGGAGTGTCAAGGCAGGAGACCGTGTCTATGATACCTCCTGTTGTGTTAGATGTTCAGCCTCATCATAAGGTAAGCAGTGTGTTTAATAATTAACTTTACTAATAGGTATTCTGTCTCCTTGTATTGATGGCAAAGAATACATTTTTCACATTTACCTTCTCTATTGACTGCCTCGTTCGTGCCTTCCCCTAAAGGGATAAAAGGTATGATGTTATTTTACATCTTCTATTTTTCCCATGGGTGTCATAAATCCAAGTCCGTTGGCAAAGATCAGAGGCCTTAGTACGAGTTTGTTATATGTTTAAAGTAAGCGAAGCGAGCGCGCATTCGCCGCTCTGACTGGTTTATTCATTGGAGCCGGCCAATCAGAGCCTCGAACGCGTACTCGTTTTAAACGTAAACCAAATTGTATTAAGACCTCAGAACATAAACTTTAAAATGTCTATCTCCAACACTTCTACTAAGTGTGGAAGAGAAGAAGTAAAGCCTGTATAAAAGTATCATAATCTAGTCGATGACCTCAAGCGCTTGATGTCAACAGAAATATTATGTTTTTTTAGGTATTGGACATGTGTGCAGCTCCTGGATCTAAAACAGCTCAGCTGATTGAATTTTTACATGCAGAAGAAGACAAAATGCCAACAGGTAAATATTTTATGAAGTTCCATCTTCTGTCTCTACTCTTTAGCATCTGTTACAATGCCATTATTAAAAAAAAAAACGGTTGTCCTCGCTTGTCAATTTTGACTGCCATGTCATTCCTTGGCCTTTAGCCCAACACCACATTAGCGCTTGTCTACAAAAAACTAGAAAACCAAATGTATGGGGATGACACTGACAAGTGTCAAAATTTACGTCAATTCCAAATTTGGTTTTCTATTCTACATGTAGACAAGCGCTAAATGGCATTTGGCTGCAGCTGCTTATTACATTTTTACCGCGTTTACCACCCTTTTTTTAAGGGGGAAAAATCATCGAATGACTACTCCCGCCTGGGTAAGGCAGGTGGAAGTGTCAGACTCTTACTGACTAAAAACCACCCCGTTCCTTCTCCTGCACGTCGAGCCTGAGCCCCGGTTACCCGTTAGGTTCTTCGCGACTCCGAGCCTTTACCACCCCTATCTCAATATTTTACCGCCTTTTTTCTGCCTATCCCCAGGTTTTGTGATGGCGAACGACGTGGACAACAGTCGGTGTTACATGTTGGTCCACCAAGCTAAGAGACTCAACTCTCCATGTATACTCATCACTAACCATGACTCCGCTGTCATGCCAGCACTTGAACTTACTAATGAACAGGTTAGTTGTATTGTTTCTTTATCATTTTTTTTTTTTTGATCTGCAATCAGTCACCAGACTATAATCAGAGACCTTAGTACGAGTTTGATTTACGTTTAAAGTATTCGAAACGAGTACGCGTTCGGCACTCCGATTGGCGGGCGACAATGAACCAACCAATCAGAGCGCCGAACGCGTATTCGTTACCATTACTTTAAACTTAAAACAAACTCGTATTAAGGCCTCTGATGTGTGGAATGCCTGCTGTCACTTATAATAAGGTATCGCGTTAACCTTTTCACAATTTTGAGTTCATTCTTTATGAGTTGTTTTAAGTGTGGGAGAGCCATGCTTCGGCACGAATGGGCCGGCTCGACCGGAGTGATACCACGGCCGAGCAGAAAACCGACGTGAAACAACGCTTGCGTTATGTTTCGTCGTGCGAGTGAGGTTGCCGGAGGCCTAATTACCCCCCGTCTCCCCAATCCCCGAATCCTCCACATTCCTCAAATCCCAAAAGGCTGGTTACGCACTGGTAACGCCTTCGTGTTTCAGGTCTCCATGGGCGGCGCCGATTGCTTACCATCAGGTGATCAGTCTGCTCGTTTCCCGGCTTATCCAATAAAAAAAGTTAGAAAAATACGTGTCTAATGTTTTAAGATAACCTACCAGACGGACATACAAATAAAATTTAAGAAACTATCCTATTAGGGTTTTAATTGTTTGTTTACTTTAAAACTGAGTCTTGTTTTAAACTTTGAAAATGTACCCTACATTCCATCCATTAAAACCTATCAATCTGTTTTCCTCTCAGAATCCAGGGTCGACCAAGCCACTGAAGTTTGACCGGATTCTATGCGACGTGCCGTGTTCAGGCGACGCTACTCTACGTAAGAACCCCGACATATGGCTCAAGTGGTCCACTGGGAATGGAAACAATTTGCATGGGTAAGTTTAAAAATTTAAAATAATGAACAACTGCATCAAATTTGTTCAAATTCTATTCAGAAGTGAATATTGTGATCAGCAAAATAAAGACTTACTTTATTAGAATTTCAAGTTTGTTGTTTTGTATTTAAATCGAAAACCAATACATTTTTGTACAATAACTACCATAAGATAAATTAAAGTCCATTAATTCTTAACTAACATAACATAACATCACGCCTTTTATCCCCGAAGGGGTAGGCAGAGGTGCACATTATGCCACTACAATGTAACACCCACTTTCAACTATTTATGTTATGACACTCATGTAATAAGGGGTGAGCCTATTGCAATATACCGGGCACAAATCCAGACTCCGTGCTACTACTGAGAATTTTGTAATACTTTGCCCGACCCGGGAATCGAACCCGAGACCCCTTGCCCGGTGGTCGCAAGTGCGACTACCGGGCTACTCGGCCAACGAGGCCGTCAATTCTTAACTGTAGAATAAAATTCAAAGTTATTCCTCTGATAAAATTTAATTGAGCATAGAAAAATCAGCCTTCAATAAGTTAAAACATAAAGAAATTCAAGTTCAAGACTCATAGAATCATAAGAATAATTTAAAGCCATCTCTCAGGTTTCTTTACCCCACATTGTTTACCGCGGACGCTCATAATTATAAACCCCAGTACAACTCGAAATTAATCGAACATCCTCGATTACAAATAACCTACCTATCTCCCTTCTAGCATCCAATACCGCGTCCTCAAGCGTGGCTGCGAGCTCTTAGAAGTAGGAGGTCGACTAGTGTACTCGACGTGTTCGTTCAACCCGGTGGAGAACGAGGCCGTCGTACACAGGGTGCTGCAGGAGACGGCCGGGGCTGTACAACTTGTTGACGTCGCTGCTATGCTACCCGGACTTAAGTTTCATAAAGGTAGGGGTGTAGAAATGTATTATTAATTCGATAGGCACTGTTCCGTAAAAGTTACGGGAATTCCCCCTTTCTTACATGAATTGATTATGACAGATGGCGAAGGCATATGCCTTGTCTTATCACTACATAGTATAAAACAAAGTCGCTATCCGCCGTCTGTCTGTCCCTATGTATGCTTAGATCTTTAAAATTCGCAACGGTATTTGATGCGGTTTTTTTTATTACATAGAGTGATTCTTACGGGAGCTTTATATGTATAATATATGCATATTGCACCCGTGCGAAGCCGGGGTTGGTCGCTATAATACATACATAAGTTTGTGAGAAAAGAAAAAATACGTGTCTAAAGTTTTAAATTAATGTACAAGACGGACATTAAATTACAATTTAGGAAACTACCCTATTATACTTAAGCGCGACATAATTGAGTTGCGTTAGAGTACTTCAGCGTAAGAGAGCTTAAATCAATAATAATGTTTCCTACAGGAATGACCTACTGGCGTCCAGCGTCAAAAGACATGGTGTTCTACGAGAAGTACGAGGATGTACCGGAGAAGTGGCAGACCGTGGTCAGGCCGCAGATGTTCCCGCCCAAACCTGAAGACCTACCCAAATATAATCTCGATAGATGGTGAGAAGCACTGAAATTAATAATAATAATGTGGATTGCATTATGATTGCGCTGATAGTTGTATCTGCCAATGGCCTCATTGCTAAAGCTAAAATCAACACATAACATAACATCACGCCTTTTTATCCCCGAAGAGGTAGGCAGAGGTGCACATTACAGCACTTAATGTCACTACAATGTAACATCCACTTTTCACTATTTATGTTATGAGTCCCATGTAGGGGGTGAGGTAACCAACACCTAAGTATTATAGCCAACAGATATAATTTTAAAGAAAGAAAAAGCATTTGTTTTACAGTATAGGTACATGTACACATACAAAAATAAAACAAATATAATAAACAAATGAAAAAAAAATACACCTACTAAATATCCAGATAAAAAAAGATTATCGACAAGAAAGAAGCAACAAAGTTAACAAAATAGTGACGACACAATTATTATTGTTATTACCCAGAAATCAAATATTAATAAAACAAGATATAAATTACATTTAATAGCGCGTACCAATTTCTTTTCATTTCATTTCCCTCAGCATAAGAATTCTACCCCACCACCAAGACACTGGTGGTTTCTTCGTGGCAGTATTTGAGAAGGTCTCCCCTCTACCATGGGAGAAGGATATCAAGCCGGCAGAGAGCTCAGAAGTTAAAGAAGAAGAGAAAAAAGAACCGCCCAAGAAGAAGAGAAGAATGGGCGGGTATAGGGAGGATCCTTTTGTTTTCTTCTCAGGTAAGTAGGGTTATAGAAATAACTGATTTTATATTTGTGAACATTATTAAATGTTGGTCCTAATAGTCATATTAGTAGTAGTATTAGATAGTCTGGATAATTGAAATAAATATATAAGACGTGTTCACTAAAACTGCATATATTTGCGACTGGCTTACGTGGCGGGCGCAGCCGTCTCTAAGCATGCACACATACATAGCGTATTCATTACTCCTGCGCACATACATATATTATGTTGTGCCTACAGTGTGAAAGTGAAAAATTTTCGAAATACTGAAAATCCCCAATCATCTTTTGTTTACTTTGCTCAGAAATCGAACTGCACACCCCTTGCTCGGCAGTCAGACTTGCGACCATTTAGCCAACAACACAGGCAGCTCTTAAAATCAGCTTAAATAAATATAATTTGTTCGTGGAAAGCGACAAAAACAAAAAAACCAGTTATTTTGTAATACTATGTAAATGAATATACTTAAATATCTAAATAACATTACAGGCGAAGAAGAAGACGTGTACCCGTCAATAAAAGAGTTTTACGACCTGCAACAAGATTTCAACGCGACCTGTCTCCTAACAAGGTGTCATGTCGGTAAAAAGAAGAATATATACCTCGTGTCTCCTATAGTTAAAGACGTAGTTTCTTTAAATGAGGGCAAAATGAAAATCATCAACACCGGAGTCAAGACTTTCGTGCGCTGCGATAACAAGAATATGGTTTGCCCTTTTAGGTATGTATTATCTTCTTTATATATATAATTCTGCTGTACGTGTGTATGTCATTGAACTCCTCCTAAACCGCTTGACCGATTTAAATGTATTTTTCTGTACGCGTTTGAGTGGCGCCCTGGATGGTTTAGATTCACAAATCAGCCCGGCAGATGGCGCTGCAGTCGATGTCTTTTTTTTTAAGGTAGGAAAATCATTGAATGACTGCTCCCGCCTGGGTGAGGCGGGAGGGAGTGTCAGACTCTTACTGACTAAAAACCACCCCGTTCCTTCTCCTGCGCGTCGAGCCGGAGCCCCGGTTACCCGTTAGGTTAGATTAGGTTATTAATCCTAAACGGCTGAACTAATTTGAATGAATTTTTGTTTATACATTCAAGTGGATATGCAGGACAACATATATTTTTTAATAAAATTAGTTTTCTACTCGCTAGGTTGAATTAGTAATAAATTATACATTCTTCTTGGGTATCACAATGTTTGTTGGTGAACTTTCTCGTACAAGATCAGGTAGTTTTTGTAGAATAGGGCGGTAAATGAGCAGACGGATCACCTAAAACGACGGGCGCCGCCCAAGGACACTTGGGACATTAGAAGAGTTACAAGGGAGTTGCTAGCCTTTTGAGTCAGAAAAAAATTGATTTAGATTGGAGACAGGTTCGGCCGCCGATTACCTCACAATACAAGCGTTGTTTCACTCTGGTTTTCTTTGACGCTGTGGAATATCACGGAGTGGGACATGTCGAGCTAACCCGTTCGTACGTCGCGGAGAACCTAACGGGTAACCGGGGCTCCGGCTCGACGTGCAGGAGAAGGAACGGGGTGGTTTTTAGTCAGTAAGAGTCTGACACTCCCTCCCGCCTCACCCAGGCGGGAGCAGTCACTCGATGATTTTCCCCCCTTAAAAAAAAACCCGTTCGTACCAAAGAACCACTTTTCACGTGTGTCAAAAAAGACTAATATGTAGATTTCATAAATTAACTTCAACAGCATACAAATCGTAATGAATACCATTTTGTAAACGATACATACATACCGTAACGTCTTTTGTCCCCGAAGGGGTAGGCCTCTGCCTACCCCTTAATTACAGCACTTAATGCCATTGTACAACATAACACCTAATAAAGTAAATGATACATATATTTCCAATTTCTCTCTTGCAGGTTATCACAAGAAGGTCTCCAAAGTATAACTCAGTTTATAGGCCCGAAGCGTCGCCTGCGCATTCTCAAGGAAGATCTGATCCTTGTACTACAGAATGACAACCCTAGCAAGCCGCCCGATGTCAAACTGTTCACTGAACAAACTCAGGAGTTGGTGAAGGACTTTGGTGAGTGATACAGATATTTGTAAGTTTTAAAAACATGTGTGATAGGAATAGACGAACTTTTCCATGATCGTAAACAATTGGGTATTTACCAACTAGTCAAATTCAAATTTTTTTTTTGAACTATCAAAAACGACAGTTTTCTATGAATTTTGTACGAGATTGTGTATTGTGACGTCATGTTTTTTTAATTCTGACTGTAGTTTGGTGTTACATTGTTCTCACACAATTGAACCATAAAAATGTGTAACTAGAGAATTGTATTGTGAAACTGATTGAAAAAGAGTAACGTATGGAGTTTCTTGCTCGTTCTTCTCTAAGAAATCTTCGCCTTGGAATGAGCAAATAGATGAGAATATATTACTTCTAAATTTTATGTTGACGTTCAAAAGTGCCTTCCTAGATTTTGGTTTTGACTTTGATGCTTCAAACAAAAGTTTTAGTAGTTTGAAGTTGTTATTGATGTATCTAAATCGAACTAACGATTAACATTTCACTTACAGCTACAGGCAGCTGTGTACTAGAATACAAAGAAGAGGGTCAGGAATCCAACCTGGAGCTGACACTAGTAGGATGGCGCGGCGTCCACTCACTGCGAGCATACACTGCTACACCTGACACCGTCCATTATTTGAGACTGTTGGGCGCTGACTATAGTAAATATGGTAAGTTGAAAATTTCTTGATACATTTCTCTGATAATTTAAAATCAGGATAATTTTAAAGATTAATAAATAAACTATTAACTACTCTTTTGGGGTTAATTCCTTCTGTCTCCTGCAGTCTATGAATACAGGGGAAAGTGGAAGCTCATTTTTTTCTTCGCTACTGATTTATTTCGTTGCAGGAACCCAAACAGTTATTCATGTCCCTGGGACGCGCCGAACTTCAGCGTTTTCATGGTTGTATCTACTGTAGATCCTGGCTTACAGGAGTTGCAGCGGTTTTGAGAGGTTGTGGCGATATGGTCTCATTAAAAAAATAACTAATGTCCCAATTCACACATTTTCTTCGGTTACACCGCCTTCGGTCTTGCAGACTGTACACAATTTTATAGCCTGAGCAAGTAATAAGAAAATCTTTTTTAAACTCCCCTGGTTAGAGATCAAACCTGCTTCTTTGTCGTAAACCTTTCGAATAATGAGGATAATCAGCCTAATTCCGTCCACTACTGGCGTAGGCTTCTCCAATAGCACACCACTACTTTTTCTTTTTTTTTTTGAGGAGGAAAATCGTCCTATTGCTTCTCCCCCTTTGGGTTAGGCGAGAGGGAGTACCACTCTTACTGACTGTAAACCACCCCGTTCCTACTCCTGCACTTCGACCCGTTAGGCCTTCTGCGGCTCCGTATCGGGCACCAGCCCTACTGGGCCCCAAATAACACACCATTGAGCTTGGTATTCGCATAGAGTATCCTGATCGCTCTTTTCAATAGGAATCTACGCATTGGAATGAGCTTTGAGTACTGACTGACAGGTAATTATTTTGCTTCTTTGGTCTAATTAAAATTAATAATCTATCATTTACTGTTCCAGATGTAAACAAATTCAAAAAAGCCTCAGAAGTTCCGGACGCTGAAACCGAAGCTAATGACGTCACAGAAACAGACGCGACTGAGTCCACTAGCGCCGCAGCGGCCGATAGCGAAACTAACGGCGCAGGCGCTGACATAGAAATGGTTGAGCAAAATGCTTCATAGTAAATTATACTTTTGTATATTTAACTATAAGTGATAATATGTTAATATTATAATTATAATATTTTATTTTGTATAACCTGATTAAACGCTATTGTTTATCAATTCTGAGCGTTTATTTTTTACTTATTCCTTACGACCTGCTGACGCGATTGGCGGAATGCAGGCAGAATTTTCTACTCACGAGACCGCAGTTCTCTGCGGAACTCGCAGCCGCCGCGATTGCGATTATCGCCTACAAACTTGGCGGTTAATTATCGCAAGACGGGCGGTAAAACAATTAGTTGAGTTCTAAACCAGCCGTCCCATTGCGATCGCCTACCAACGGAGTAGTTCCGGAGATTAGCGCGTTCATTCTCTATATTGTTAATAGGGTATGAAAATAAATAAAGGAAAACAAAAATAAACACACATTTATGTTTAGAAACCCTTTATTTCCTTCTTTCGCATTCGTTTCATTCGCATACCAGCGATAACAACCCTTATTACTTTACATTCTAAAGCCCATATTTGTTTAAAACAACATTTTAACATACAATCTCAACACAAAGAATTAACAAATAATCAGATCACACATACTTATGAGAAAATATTGCACAGAAACATTATTAAAATATAACTTACAAAGATAATAATAAGATACATTTTAGCTTGACAAATAACAAAAATACATAAAATAACAGAAATCACATTAAGAAATCTTGAGAGCAATCACATTAGCACATTTGGTAACTATTATATGCTCTTGTAGAATATTTATTGAAGTGCCACGACATAACTCGAAAGTGGCGACATCTAGGGTGAGTAAAAATGTGATAACTCTCATTTTAAGCGGTTCATCTTTATCAAAGAGTTACGAGGCAATAATATAATTATCATTGTTGTATTGTAACTTATTAAAAGAAAACATAAACAATTACATAAGTAAATAAACGGGCTTTTCCTACCTAACACCTCTTTGCCAATTGACTACGCACCCCTTAAGTTTTCAATTTTAAATGCATTTAAAAGTTATTTCATTTTCGTCGAGATCGAATTGCAGTTAAACTGTTAATGAAGAGAGATCAAATAAGTCAGATAAACAACTCACCAATTTTCCCATATAAAATATTAGTAAGATTGATTTGAATTTCTTTTCTTTGGTTATTATTGGTGCAGGTATGAAAAACGGTATTATTTTATTATTTGTTTATCAAACTCTTTGAAAGTTCAATTTAGATATTTCTATTAATTAGACACGAACATAAAGGGGAATCTGAAGTAATTTAAATATTGGGTAGAGCTTAACAAACTTTTCAATACTTGTTAAAACTTCGCAGGCGCACTGCCATGCCTCTAGGATCGACCTCGACAAATCGCCAATCGCAGACCAGAAAAATTACTTACGTCAAATTTTGAATTTAGAAAGCACATTCGAATCAAATTATTGAATCAGTCCAATGAGTTACAATAATACTTTAATTTTTTAAATACTTCATGGAATATTGGCAAAGGTCGCATTTTTAATGTGCGTAATTTGAAATGATTTTTACCTAATTTCTTACATTTTATAATAACTTAGGCATGACAATTTGTTGGATAAAACCCTTTGCAATCTTTCTTTCGAAGTCTTTGGCGATTCTTTTTGTTTATATAATTCAAAAATAAAGCATTACTCTTAGAATACCATAGAATTTCTAATAGAAAACAGAGAACTAAGAAATCCTTTTAGTACTTAAACTACATAGGTAACCTTAGTGTAAAACTTCAGTGCAAATCGTGCATTTCACAATTATTTTGAAAGCAAGAAAATTATATTGTTGTGTTATTGGCATAGAATAAATAACTAAATAGGAACACACACAAACAACTGCGGGTTGTGACAGATTATTTTACAAACGATACAATATAATATACACTGTAATATATTATAAGTCGGCAATTCTGTATCTACTTCAATAGTGGAAGAATATTTTCAGGACTGGTGTAAAAATCAAAGAATTATTCAGTACAGAGAGCAACCGTTGGCTAATTGTCATGCTTACTTATCTACGAGGGATGTTTTTACAAAGTCAATCCCTGACTGACATACAAACACATAACTTCACGTCTGTCTATCCCGTGGAGGTAGGCAGAGACTATGGAACGGCATTTACTACGATTCCTACATAACCTCTTTCGCTTCATCAACAGTCATCAATCTTTTCATGCATGCTCGTCGGCTATGGGTACCAACTTTATATTGGCCGTCCTTTAATAAATCGCCAATCTGGGTCCGTAAATGTCCGTTCCGCTTTGTATCCCTGATTGAATCGTCCACTATTCAAGATAGATATTGCTGTTTACATGAAATATCCATATGGTAGGCAGATTTGCAATAAAGTGTACTACTCAAGTGTATAACCTTTTAGCGTCACTAGGCATATTATATTTCTTGAAAATATGGCACATGTATGTTAAACAAAAAGATTATCTAAGATCAATTACATTAAGTTTATTTTCCTTTACATTATTTCGCTACGATTTCATCTAGTTAGGTACGTAATAGGATGAGTATTATCTAGCATAAGATTTGATTTACTACCCTATTTACTTAGAAGATTGCCACGGTCTATTAGATTAGAATAAACTATAGGTTTTTGTGTGAGTTTAATAATAGGTAGGTCATATATAAAATAAAACTTAATTGGGTTGTGAGACTCGTTCTTGTAATCGTTGAAGTTCGTCGACCAGAGTGCCAAGCACGAATAACAATCGCATTCGTAACTAATTTTATCGAGCGCGTTCGGCGTTCTGGGTGCTTACTCTTGAAACCAATCTCAATGTCAATGCAATTTCAATCCAATAAAATCTCAATAATTATTCAATGTCAAAACTATACAACCCTTATCGTAGGTAGCTATAGCATTCAGAGAATAGAATATAGAGGTACAGCCAAACTCAATACCATTTAGTTCATTAAATATTCACGCAATACGGATGCAATGGGCGCTAGTGTCGTAACTCGAGAATACGAAATTTCGCAAGTCGATCGGAATTGGATTCATGATTAAGCCCCCTGATTGGCCGGTTCCAGTGAACCAACCAATCAGAACGACGAACTCAATATTCGTGCTTGCCACTTAGTTTCAAGGCGTCTGTAGTCGTTCGACTTTTTAAGCTTTTAAGCTGTACAACTTAATCAGCTTATATTATCTCACAAAAATAGTTATTAAATAAAAACAGACAGTCTCATATTATCTTATTGTAAAAAAAAAATAACTAAAATGCTTTAATAAAAGTTAATATCATTAGTCAAATGGATTTAAAATCTGATTGTGCTTCACATTTTAGGACTATCAAAATAGTTCAACCAATCTTGTTTTAACAAGTTCTTCTCATCGAGTTTACTTAAAAACGTTGATAAAGATAAAGATAAAGATACTTTTATTTTGCAAATATGGGTAACAATTACAGGTGACATAAAAATACATGTTCAGCCATATTTTACCATTTAAGCATGCAAATGATATACATAGTAAAATGCATTGGATAATATGTTACAATTGAGGGCAAACAACCCAATAAAAAGAAAAAACATAAACAAAAAAAAAAGACCATAAATTAGGAACACAGTTTTCAATTCAAGCACTTATAAAAAAAAAAATCCTTCTCATTCAGATACTCAGGCAAACTATAATATGCTTTAGCCACTAAAAAGCTTCGGAATCTTTTTTTAAATAAATGTAGCGGAAGCTCCTTCCAACCCTTAGGTATCCTATTATAAATAACTGAAGCCATGCAGTAGACACTCTTGCGCATAAGTGCCGTCTTAGCTGGCTCTTTACATAGCAGACTATTATCGCGTCTGTTGCGGGGAAATACATCGGCCATGCATTTAAAACGACTAGGGTTTGTCTTCACGAACACAGCTACTTCCAGGATATACAAACTAGGCAACGTCAATATTTTGTAATTTTTAAAGTATGGTTCACAACTATCTGTAGATTTTAGCTTAAACATCGCTCGTAAGCACTTTTTTTGTGCTTTGAAAGCGGTTTCTCTTTCAGTAGAGTTTCCCCAAAATATAATCCCATACCTCAAATGTGATTCTACAGTTCCATAGTAGGCAGTAAGAAGTGCATTTCTGTTGACTATAGTTGATAATCTATGTAATGCATATGCAGACTTACTTATTCTCTTACATAAACTATCCACTTGTGATTTCCAATTCAACTGTTGATCTATTTGCAAACCTAAAAACTTTGTACTTTCAACTTCTTCTATAGTATTATTGTTGTTATGTACTTTCAAATTTATACTAGCAGTCTGTTGTCTAAATTGGATAAATTTCGTCTTATTTAAATTTATCTTCAAATTATTTGCATCTAGCCAGTCTACTGTTTGTTTTAAACTATTGTTAATATCTCTCTCGTACGTAACTATATTTTTACAAGGAATTGTAATCGTACTATCATCTGCAAAGAGTGTTATTGGTTGGTCAATAGATTTTGGTAGATCATTTATATATAAAATGAACATTAAAGGGCCTAGTACGCTACCCTGTGGTACCCCAAATAATACTTTACGCTCTGAAGACCGATACATCTCATCATGCTTAGTTTCTATGTTAATCTTATTGATTTGAGTTATTTGTTTTCTATTATTTTGTAGGTATGAACTTAATAGACTAAGGACATTGCCTCTAATCCCGTAGGCTTCGAGCTTTTTTAAAAGAGTAGGGTAGTGAACATAATCAAATGCCTGGGTCATGTCACAAAATACACCACATACAGGGTTACGTTGATCAATATTTTTAATTATATTATGTACAAAATCATATACCGCCATATTAATTGTCCTATTTACACGAAATCCTTTCTGTTCCTCACACAAGAGATCTTGTTTATCTATGAATTTATATAGTTCCCTATAAATATACTTTTCAAAGACTTTAGAAAACACCGGAATTAATGATATTGGTCGGTAGTTTTCTATCCGTTCCCTGTTCTCTTTTTTAAAAAGTGGCTTGACTATAGATATTTTTAATGCATCGGGGTATATGCCTGCGTCAATAGTTTGGTTAATTATGTAACTTAAATGGCCGCTTATTTCCTTTGACACTTGTTTTATTATTTTTGTGGCAAT